TTCGACTGGAATTCGAACTCGGCTCTGCGATTCCTCAATCCAAGCCGCTATCCATTACTCCACCGTGCGCCTCCTCTCTCTCTCTCTCTCTCTCTCTCTCTCTCTCTCTCTCTATCTATCTATCTATCTATCTATCTATCTATATATATATATATATATATATATATATATATATATATATATATATATATATATATATATTTGTCAGGAAGGTGTCTTATGTCTAGAGGAGGCAATCAGTGTATGGCATCTTTAGAATGTGTCTGAAAACCATACCACGAATTGGCTCAAGCCTTGTGAATGAAATTGGTTAGACGAAAGCCTTGGGTACTGTCGATAGCTGTGCTACCACGAAACCACAAGTCATGGCGACCGAAGGTTTGAACCTGCTGGCCAGACGAGTTGATCACGCTAGATAACACGCTTCTCCACCAGAAACTGTAACTAAGGTCTGTTCAGCATAGTTGCTGTCGGTGTTGATCGAACAAATGTGTCTGAGCAAGTTTCTGCTGTAGAGATTAGCTGGCTTCCATAGAAGGCTTGACTTGAATACGAGTGGCCATCCACACACGCACACACACACACACACACACACACACACACACACACACACATATATATATATATATATATATATATATATATATATATATATATATATATATATATATATATATATAAACTTTTTGAAATTTGCTTAATTTATAAGCGCAGACAATATTAATATTATGTGTTCTTAAAGAAAATTTATCTATTTTGAGTAGGGATGGTAAGGTTTTAATTTCCGTAGACAACTTATGTATCCAGTATATGTTACAAAATGAGGTTAAATTTAGGTGGAGTGGGTGTGCCTGCTAACAAACGTATATATCCATCATTCGTCTGGGTTTTCAATGACAAATATGTTTTGGCATTTTTTATTCATTCGCATAATTCATATTTTTATATAGAAAGATATTTTGCTTTACTGTTTGTATCGAACAATCTATTTTTTTTTTTGAATAAAATTAATTGCTCAGAACGCCGGATTATAAATCTTTCTATTCTTTCTTATTTTATATATATATATATATATATATATATATATATATATATTATAAATTAATTGATTTAAAATATGGTTTTTTTTCTACACAGTTCTAACCATGTTTCAAAAATGGAAGCTAAAAGCCACGAATTTAATTTTGCAATTAAATTAAAGACATTAGTTCCATTTCATCCTCAAGCGGATTTTGGAGTAACTTTTAAAATTCCTGTGTAGCGAAAAAAACATATCTCAAATCAATTAATTTATAATATTAATGCTCTGTAAATTTACATTGAACACTATTTTGTAAAAATAAATATATCTATAAGAACACCGGATCATATATCTTACTGTTCTTTCTTTTTATTTATATTTACACACACACACACACACACACACACACACACATATATATATATATATATATATATATATATATATATATATATATATATAAAAAGTATGGTAAAGAGCAAAAATTTTCGTGTAACGCGTTTTGTTCTTTAGTAGTTCATCGAGTGAAAGCGATGTTTACGTTGATGCCACTACACATGCGCACGAAGAAGACATGACACTGAGAACTTTAAATTTATTTTTTTAATTTTTTTATAAGTTTCATCTATATAATCTAGACGTGTTCATTTAGATTCTTTTCTCTTTTGTTTATGTTTCCGTCACTTTTGTTATCAAATATTTCACATTGCTATAATAGAAGATCTGTCATGAAATATGAAACGTAGTAATAAAGTGAATACAAATTTATGGTGGATGATCTTAGTCATTTGCTTTCTCTTTTAATTAAAGAAGCCTTTTTAAATCGAAATTACAAACTCTTTACTGTGCATTGGCTGTGTTGTTGCCCATATAATCTTCTATTTAAAGTTCTTGAGGTTTCTTTTATGTATTCCTTGTGACAAGTATTACTTTGGGTGTATATATAATTTATCCATGATATGTATCCATCCAAAGTCTAATCACCATCCATCTAAAATCAAGTACATACCCTCCTCCATAGAATTAATAATAACTATGCTAGCGAATATTTATTTTATAAACATAGAAATGTTTACAACCATGCCTTAAAATTAGTGCCTATAAATTACCTCATATTAAATATTATAGTGATACCCAAAAAAAAAAAAACAGAAATGGAAAAACCACACACACACATATATATATATATATATATATATATATATATATATATATATATATATATATATATATATATATATATATATATATATACGCATATATATATATATATATATATATATATATACAAAAAACACACACGTGCATATATATATATATACACACACGCATATATATATATATATATATAAGCAAATATATGGATATAGATCCGACAGTATGAAGAAAAATATAGAAAAAAACAAACAAAAATCTGAATATGCAATTATGTAGTATTAATGACTTTATATTAACATTAATACTACATAATTGCATATTCAGATTTTTGTTTGTTTTTTCTGTATTTTGTTTCATATATATATATATATATATATAGACACATACACGCGCGCATATATATATACACACACACACGCGCGCATATACACACACACACACACACACACACACACACACACACACACACACACACACACACACACACACACACAGACAGAGGGTGTAAAAATCAAAATTGTCTCAATCGTGTAACACCAAGGGATAATCTTCTATCCCACAAAATGTTTAATATAGAAAACTCACTAAACCGAGTTTCTTTTTTTCCAGGTCTTCAGATAAGACGTCTAGCCCTAACACAATTTGTCGTAAAAATCACTTTTCGTAAAATAGATCTACTGTATACTTTAGTACACATCATCAGTGATGTTTCTAGCCGAGGTTCATTAGGTGTTTCGGGTCTTTCAACATTATACCCCCTCTCCACGGTAACCCAGCCGATACTGATTGGGTATCGACTTGTGTACCTTCCGTCAGCTACAATTTTTTTCCATCTTCCAATCACTGAAAAACATCATTAAAGAAAAAATTACGCTCACTGGTAGGATTCGAACCTGCGGCCTCTTAATCTGTCGGATTAATAAAAAATCCATTATAAATATACAGGTTGACTGAAAAGTAACTCCCTATTTCATGGATGATGGATTCTACGGTGTGATTATAATTTTTATAAGGGAGGAGTGTCAATCATGCATAAAATCGGGAGTTACTTTTCGATCACCCTGTGTGAAATTTTTAATTTTAAAATTAACTCTTAACTTAAAATTCAATTTTTATATTGATTTCTAATTTAATCTAATCTTAAATTTAATGCACTAATTGATTGTACTAATACTAGAGTATGTTGTCATGTTATTTTATTTCAAATTGCCATACACTTATATTCTGATTGGTCATCGTCTGTTACGTAACAATGTTTCCCCTACTTTGGTTGGCTTTTGAACTCTTAAAACCGTTTATTTTCCATTCAACATCATCAGGAGATAAGACACCAGAAGGGTCAAAAGAAAATTACAACTTTTGTAGCGATTTTATAACATGCATATGTTTTAAATTTGAATAAATATTATGTTGTGGAGTGATTTCACAGTGGAGGCTTGTATTTGTACTAAGTCGGTCCTAAAATAGGTTCGACGTACAAAGCATTAGGAACTTGATATAATACGTATAACGCAGAATAATCTAGTTGATACTTTCGTATTCGACTAACTGTCGTCCGACATCGACTGACCGACTCACTGACTCCTCGTTACTCTTACTACTTGTACTTATTATAGGGGGGGGGAGTCTCTATAGAATAGGTGTTTTCCAATATAACATATTATTATCTCTACTCGGTATTGAGAATAGTGTTTTTGGTTTTTGAATTTTTACTCCATGTGTACCAGCCCTGTACTATATATATATATATATATATATATATATATATATATATATATGTCTGGGGGGGGGTTCGTATGTGTGTCTCTAGCCAAAATTGACTCATGAATAAGTGCAAAGTCCGTAATGCTATCAATTGACGAGACAAATGAATTTCTTTCTCCTGCCACCCAGCGAACCGGATTATCTTCCTTTATCAAAATGTGCATCTGACTACAGTTAACTGTCCATAGCACTCGCTGTCCACACCGAAAATGTCTTTCTCTCTCATCTGCTGTTCTGCTTTTTGCTATTCCCAATGCTATTCTCCGGAATGTTTTTCTACGAAGCAGTGTTATCTTTCTTTTCAGTTTGAATTAATCCTCATTAGATTAGTTTTTATATCTTTCGTCTTCAATAAATTTAAAATGTAACTACGCATTTCATATCGATAAAATTCTTCTTCTATGACCTTTCCGGACATTACCGATTATAACTCTCCACAATTTGATGTCCTTTTTAGCTATTAATGAACTTACTCCATTACCTCTAGCTCGCTAGGTAGGTTATGCTTTGTTTTTCTCTGATCGCCTTTTCTTAAATTAGTCCTGTGACTATCAAATTTTCCAAACCTTTTACCTCATTATGTGTCCTTGAAAGTTTAATTCTCTCTTCCTGATAATTAATATAAGTAATTCTCCTCTATATTTCCATTTAATTTTCGTCGTATTTCACGTGTTCAGTCCATAGTATTTTCAGCACCCTTCTGTAGAACACATTTCTATTGCTTCAAGTCTCTTCTTCATCTGTGAAGAAGTTGTCCACTACCAACCACTACTTTATTGAAGGACTGATATTACTTAAAAATTCAGTAGTCTTTTTTATCTTGTTTCTAAAGAACATGCCCTTTTCCTTGATATTTTGATTAGGATTTGGAAGGCAAATTTCGTTATCCCAGTGCACCTTAAAATTTCAATATCGTACTTTCCGTCCTCAGTTAAAAGACGACGTAAATTTTTCTAAGCTAAACTGGCGCTAAAAATCAATTTTTAGACGCAAGTTTTGTCATCTGGGATTTCATTTTTCATATGTGTACGTCGTTGTTTAATTTTATTTTTTCGGCTTACGGCCATATCAATTTAGGACACCGGTTTCCGTATGATCACTGAAGTTAAGCAACCTCGAACCTGGTTAGTACGTAAATGGTTGAACTCTTGGGAATACCAGGTGCTGTAAGGGAGGGTGTGTGGATGGTGTAATGGATAATGGCTAGGAATCGTTAATCGAAGAGCTGAGTTCAAATTCCATTTGGGTCCGTTACATTCACTTAAATACCATTGCGAAAGGTATGAGTCCACCTATTTCCCCCAAGCTACGAGTTAATTAGTAAGACTCATATAACTAAACGATTATTATGTAAAAAAATTCTTATAATCTAAAAGTATTTTCTGTTCTTAAGTAACCTGCAATGGGTTGATAAATCTTTGTAAACGTAATTTTTTTATTAATGTTTAGTCACAAATATTTTCCATTTTCTTTATCAACAAAACATAATACTCGCCAGTGGCGTGAAGTAGGTAAACGACTTCTAATGGTCGACTACTTAGACAGCATGTTACCCCCACTTACAATATTTCCAACGTATTTATGAGGACGGACGTACTCATTAAGGTTCATAAGTACGGGGTATAAGAACTTTATTGTAAAAAATAAAGCACAATTATATTTGAAGGTTTTTGTTAACGTTACATAATTTAATTATGGCGTGAAATACACGGACATATTTAAAATATCATTTTAAACAAAAAGCACAAAAAAAAAAATTTAAACATTGAACACACAAAACAAATTTCTGCTTAAAGTTTTTGAAACTAGACACCATTCCCTGCGAAAACCAAAAATGGTTGTTTGGTTTTTATAAATATTTTTATGTATTTAATATATTTAAAAGTGTACTGAAATGTTACGTGTTATCTGCCAATATATGACAGTGAATTCTGGACAATCTTGAAGCAACAGAAACGCGATTCTACGGAAGGATGCTTAGGACACCATGGACCGAGCATGTGAGCAACAACGAATTCGTAGAGAAAACGCAAACAAAAAGGACACTTATACATAACATCTTTTGTGATGTCAACAAGCACTCGTTGTCTCTTTTGCGATGCCAACGAATACCCGTTGTCACTTTCGTAATGCTCGTTGTAGTAGAGCCTTTGTAATCGCAGATACAACTATAGTAACGCCGTTGAACAATACTGGTGTCAATACACACGCGCTAATAGTACTTGCTCGATAATTCTCGCTCGAATAGTAATCCGTATAGTGGTCTGAAGAGAGAAATACTATCATGAATAGAATAGACAATAGCGAACAGTATAGTAATAGAGGATAGAGTAAAAATAGCGATCTGAAAAGTAATAGAGGATAGAATAGAAATGAGGATCATTTAGACGTCACACGACTTCCTATATATACGTTTCATCTATGGTCACGTGATCCACTTAATTCAATAATGAGATCGCCTGTATTTGCTCACTAGCGACCTATGTTCAAATGCAAGTGTCGTCATTGACACTTTATTCCTATATAGCAACATCGGGGAGAGACAATAATACATAATGAAGAATAGTACATAATGAGGAAAGAGGCCTCAGAAAATCTGATACTCACATGACAGACAAGAGGAAGAGAGGAAAACAGCGCGTAATATACTAAGTGATCTCAAATAGGGGAAATCTTTTTTTCTGCATATGTTATATTACTAAAAAGATCAAATAGGAAGGGTGCTTGAAAAGTAACTCTCTACTGTATGTATGAGTGGCCAGCCAGGAATCCTAACTTAATACCCTGTGAGATTTTTTTCATTGGGTTTGATTAAAAGAGCAAGTCTACTGTAACAATCCAAGACTCTAGAAGAACTTAAATGGCGAATTGAAAATGTCTTCCATACCACAAGAGATCCTGTGGACGCGATTCCTGGGCGGCTCGAGAAGCTGATAGCGTAATCTGATGCCCATATCGAATTTTAAATAAAACGATATGCTTAAATCTGTCCTCTCATATCCAATTCTTCGAATAATCATAGTTAATAAATAAATTATAAGCATTTGAAAATGTGGAGTTACTTTTCAATCACCCTGTATATATATATATATATATATATATATATATATATATATATATATATATATATATATATATATATATATATATATATATATATAATTCTCATCGCAACTTGACACTTTTACCATTGATAAAATCTCACCATACTTTTGTCTTGGTACACCGTTCCAACTAGATTTAATCTGAATTCTTAGACTCCTTTATTTAGAACTGACACAGGACTGAAAATATGATTTCATATTTTGTTTTTATCTTTCTGGCATTTTTATCTAATTTTAAAAGCCTGAGTATGAACAGAATTAGATAGACAAATTTAAAATCGCGTTTTCTTTTTTTTAATTAAAATTGAAGTTATTCAGATTTCGAAGCTTAATATAACTGTTTGGAGATCTGGTGTGGGTTTTCAATTAAAAAATAAATGGCAGCGTTGAATTCACCTGGCGCCTGCTAATCTCCCCGTATGTCGTATGTTCAAAATCAAGTTTCATTTGAATAAGGTTAAGAATTTGATATGATTCGAAACTGATGAATTTTAATAATTTGCATTGATTCCTTCATCTGTCTTGATGTAATCCCTGTTTATAAACAGAATTTCTATAAAGTTATTTAGTCGAACGAAGTTCTACTTACTTTTTTACTTTGTTTCGTTCATTTTCTACAGTTTATCAACCTTTTTGCAGGTTATTTAAAGCCAGAAAATATTTCTAGATTGTAAAAAATAAAAATTGAGGGGGGAGATAATAATGATTATAGTGATACAAGTCTTACTAATTAACCCATTGCTGGGAGGAGAAGAGGTGGATTCATGCCTTTCCCAAAGGTATTTCCGAGCAAGTGAATATAACTAACCCAAATGGAACTGGAAATGGAACTTGGTTCTCCGATTAACAATTCCGAGTCATTATCATTACACCACCCGCACATCTAAGCATCTGGTATTCCCAAGCAGTCACCTATCTAATTACTGACCGGGCTCGTCGTTGCTTAACGCTCATGTTTCAACAGGGTATGACAGTAAGCCAAGTCTCTTATAATTTATTTAATAATGGGCGTGAATATGCTGTAAATAATATATTTTAGATTAAACTTTTCTCGTTTGAGATTTCGATCTTTCGTGTATACTCTCTCATAAAAAGAACTATCAGTGTCCCATGTAAATAAAGGAATTGCGAGGTTCATGCCTTTATTCTATAGCCACAAATTAGCAGGTTATTAAGAAAGAAGAAATGTCATATTTATTACGTTCTAGAATTTCCATGCCTTATTTTATGTGATTTCTCCGTTCATGACGTGGCTGGTCATTGCCCTCCACGCCTTTCTTTTACTTTTTTGCTCTAAACAACGTGTGAATCCTTGTCATACCTCTATAAACTTTCCCTATCACTACAATCCTTTCAAGTCTAAAGTCAACCATTATATTTCCCACATAACCTCATAAACTATGTCTCTTCCTCTGTAACCATCTACTACGAGTGTCTCTTGGGCCTTTTGCAAGAGGGACAGAAATGAAAAAAAAAAGCAAAAAAAAAAAAAAAAAAGCTCACCCGTCCATTTACCCAAACTCATGAAGTAGATTTATCCCCGCTTTCGTCTGCCGCTCTTATCTTTAATATGTCTAGTGCGTGTTAAATTTCCCAGTCCGTTTTCTATATGAGAAATGCGAATGTCAGTGTGTCACTGTGTCACACCTTTTCAACTTTACTCCTCGAGAGTGTAGCCCAAGATATCATACCATTTTGGAATCAGGCCGAATCCGTGAGCAAATTTAAAACATTCCGTGCCAGATCAGGACCTGCAATCCTGAAATTTTGATTTCCCAAGTTTTTATTACAGCTATTGTTTTCGGATTGCACCATCTTGACTTCTCGTGATAAAAACAATTAAAGGGACACACCTCTCTAACTTACAATAGTTCATGTTCAAATGAAAAAAAAAATAATGTCCGCAAATTACAGTGTTTCGAAATAAAATTGTCAACTTTACTCCTAGAGGCCGTAGCCCAATATATCATACCATTTTGGAATCAGGCCGACTCCGTGAGTAAATTAAAAACATTTCGGGTCGGATCAGACCACGCACTCCTAAAATTTTTGATTCTCAAGTTTTCACTACTGCGATTGTTTTCGGCGATTTTTTTTACTTGAGTTTTGCGATAAATTTTTAGTGCGATAACAATTTTTATATCTTCAAAATAAATTTGGTATTAATCGAAATTAATTACGAAATCCAGCGAAAATCACCAGTGAAATAAAATAAAAATAATTCTTTGTACAGAAAGTAAGGACCTACATACATCAAATTGTCTTTAAATTAATTGGCGGCAGAAGAATTATCGTTGAACTTTTAAAAGGTAACCTTAATTATTAATGCAATGCAGTGATCAATTTTGAGTTCTTCTGTAGTTTATTGTGGCCTATAGCATCTACTCCTCCCTACCTACTGTGATGAATGCCTTATCAAGATCCCCCTGCAGGAGCTTTTGAAATTAGTTCTTATATGTCTCAGGAAGCTCCATTGTCTCTTTCTGCTTTAAAACATGCCCTTTCTGTTTCTGTTTCCTTCAGTACCTCCCCTTTGTTCACACCCGTCCGTAAAACATATGCATCGTAGCATATGTCCAGCATTCACGGCTATACAAGAAATTCTTCCATTTGCCTTGTCTTTTCAGAATATGGAAGATCACGACTCATCAAAACAGGCTTTCTTTTATAGCTTTTAATAGTGTTTATCTTTTTTTACAATACCTCCCACTTCCTATTATGTCATACGTGTTGTGTGTGCCAAATTTTCCAGGCCTTCTTTCTTCATTATAATGTCCTAGAAATTTCAACTACCTCATTTCTGATCTCTATCTATAAAAGGCAGTATGTGTGTGTGTGTGTGTGTGTGTGTGTGTGCGTGTGTGTGTGTGTGTGTAACGAATGCACGGCCGCAATTCTCGACGGATTTGCACCAAAATTTACATGCACATGCTCCAAGTTAGCGGGAAGACCAAGACCGACTTCGCATTTCCCAACTCCCATCGATAGTAGAAATAATCGAATTTTTCATGCTTCTACGGCACTTTTCATGTAGTTTGCGTCCATTTTCTACTGGCCAGAGTGAGA